TTAGCAGATACGCAACGGTGGGAACATCGAATTCTGAGAGTTCGTCGGCAGAAAACGGTTTGCCATTGTTTACTTTGGCGCGCAATTTATGAACTTGCGGGAGCTGAATTTCCGTAAGCCAGACCCCTCGTCTTGCTTCGTCTCCTTCGAGATCCGGATAGTGATTATCCAGATACGTCAGCAGCGTTGTGATGATAATAGGGACGCGCTTCTTATCCGCCCTAGCCCTAGCCTCTAGATCTACGCCGAATGTCTGCTCGTCAACCTTGTTATAGTAGTTTTCATACGTGACAACCCGGGGTGCATAGCGACCTGTCCTGTAGTTCTCCAAGAGATATCGCAAGTCTCCGATGGGCTGAACTGTCTCCTGGTATAGAACCATGCGGTCCACCGCAGATTGTAAGCTCGGGATGACATTTCCAATGGTGCCCGAGAAATCGAGAATGACCGTTTTGATGGCTTTTAGCCTGTCCAACTCGCAGCGCTCAAGGAATCTTAAGTGTAGGAAGATAGCTTCCTCTAGCTCACAGCGCATTTCATCTAGCTTCTGAACACCAGCCTTGTACTTATCATCGGCCTCCCTAGCCTCGCGACGTAGACGTTCCGGCGGGGTCTCGTTAGGGTGTTGGCTACCAAGAACATTCCAGCCCGATAAATACTCGCTAACGGCGCCCACGACGGGGGAGTCGGACCCGCTCTCGGGATTCGAAGGTATAGAAAAGGTTCTCCCAAACGTCGCCTTCTTCTCCGGAACGCCTGCTAGCTGGAATGCCTTTGGTCGCCACTGGTAGAAGAATTTCGAGCTGTTCGCAAAGTTATTTCCAACATTACCAACCAGACGAAGGAATCCGTTCGACACTAAGTCCTGTCCAATCCGTTCGGCGTAGCTGATACTGGTCGATCCCATATGCCGTTGCATGTACTCAACTATATCGGAACCAGACGAGGTGTTGAGATATGTTCCCAGGATAGGCACTTTCGTCTCACCCATTTTAATAGTGTTCAGCATGTGAGATAGTACCTTCTTGATCTGTTCCGTCTGGTATGTCTCATCGCCGATCTCGTATATCTCATCATCTTCCTCCTTCTCATTCGGCGATACCTTGATCTCGGGTATGTTCTGATTCTGCTTGGGGCTTGTTTCCGGGTCTTGAAAGGCCAGCTTATTTTCTTCCTCGAGGTCTTCGACCAGGCGGCACTTATTAAAATAGTTGCTTCGTAGCTTCTTGACAAGCTCGGCTTGGCGATCGTGAGCTTTTATACGGGTCTGCAGGTCATCTTGGGAATCTTGGATGCGGGATTCGTGAGCGTCGCACCACCGCGCAAACGGGTTCACGACCAAGTCCCGAATACTCTGTGCGATCTTCTTGTGATTTTTTGAAGCATCCTCCATCTCGGTTCGGACGCCATCGTAGGCCTAAGACGTGGAAGAACAAAAGTTAGCTAGAGGCTCCTGTACTGTATATAGAAAAAAGATGCGGTTCGTACTTTTCGCACACTCGCGCCATCGTCACGCGAGAAGCCACCGGTAATCTTGTCGGCTGCGGGCGCAATCTCTCCAAGTCGCTGGCCGTAGATCTCTTCGGCTTCGGCTCGCATTCGAGCGATCGTCAAGACTTGTTTGTTTTCCTGGACTCCTTGCTGGAGTTTGGTGAACAGGACACCCAAGCCTTGAAAATAGTTAGTCTTTGTATAAGGGGTAGGTTAGGTAGGTTGTTTCGCGCTCACCTGCGGCATAGTCTGTCGACCAAAAAGAGTCTGCGAACCCCGGCATGGTGATGACGCAGTCCTCCAAAAACACCGATTTATAGTAGCCGGGTCGAGGGTTTCTAATACTGACTCAAAACGGATGAAAGCAGGGTCTAGTTTCGAAGGCGAAAGGCGTAATAAGGCGCGAATGCAAAGTTGGCCGGCTATGCGATCCCGAGCCCAGTTGTAACAAGGGAGCCAGTAAAAAGAATTGAAGACGGCCGAGGGGCGAAGAAGATTAGATGTCGGGATGTCGGCGGCGGGTATCACAGAATGGGAAGTCGTGTCACTATTACAGAAGGAAATGAGGAGAATGAAGAAGGATGCTATTGTGCTGCTGTCGATGTACTACAAAGCAACAAGATCAGATGCGAAATGTACAGAAAGAATGGGCGATTAAGACAGAATATAGAATGGCTCCATCTATTTCTGTCTCAGCCTCTTTTTAACGGAATTCCTCGCCAATAAAGCATTTTAAATGAAGCTCGGACACGAAAAGCGTATGAAGGACAAAAATTCATTGGTCCAAGGTTGGACCTGCAGACCCCCCAGGGGCTTTTTTTGGTGCGACGGGGGGTTTCCTTTTTATTTGCGCGGTCTTGCTTGCTTGCCGCGTGCCTGCTGCTGCGAGCGCTATGCTATGTATTATGTTGGTACTACCTGCGTTAGGTAGGTAGGTAAGAGGTACCTACATCCATTCAAGCCCAGAGCCATTACGTACCTACCTAACCTATTCTACATATTGTGGGTGCTGTGTGGATTGTATGGGCTGAAGTAAGTAGGCTACCAGACGAATTACATCGTTGTTCAAGTGCCATATTAGGTTAGCTGAAGCCACTAAAGGCAAGTACATAAAGCAAGTACTATGTAAAAGCAATCCTGTATGTATTAGCAACAAGGCAACTCGTTTCATCTGATCTTTTTCGGGCATCGGCCCTGTCGAGCCCTACGGAAGCCCGTAAGCAACCAAGGATCATAAGAGGCCTCTTGATGATCGACATAAAACCACAAAACTTCGTACTCTGTAATTAAGTATACTTGGATACTTGGGATGGTGCATTAGGCGGTCAGGCATATATACTAAAGGTGCATGGTAGAAATACATTTCAACCAGCTGATAGAACAACAAATCATTCTCATGATCTAGAACTGACTTAGTACTTGACACCTTCAATCCCGTGCCGAGTTGCGAGTTGACGAGGTTTTTACGCCATGACCCCAATAGGTCATGTCGCAAATTGCCGGTTTCCGTCAGGAGGTAAGGAGGTAAGGAGGTAAACGTGCAGATGTTATGTAAGAGGTATGTATTATAGTTGGTTATTGACTCGCTATACTGTAACAGTATAGCTCCGATTAGAACCAGAATACTGCAAGTGGCTTGGTAAGCTACCTATTAACCAACTTAACCAACTTAACTAACTTAACATATCTGATCTCACTATCAACATCCCAACCCTCTAATCTTTCTCTCCCATCACATGGGCGTAAGCAAGACCGATGAAGAGTCCTTTCCACACCATGTATGAAAAGAAAGAAACTTCTGACCTCGAGAGCGCGATTCCCGTCCGCTCTCAATCTTCACGCGTAAAGAAGCCAAACGCGAATATCGCCTCGATATTCTTTATCGGATTAATCTTATACGCATTGCTCCACCCGAGCTCTCCCTGTTCAGGAGCTGCTTCTCACTTCCGCCCAAAGTCTATTGAACAGAGGGTTCAAAAGATACTCTCGAAAACTCCCTTGATAGGTACCTAGATTGGAATCCCATATAATTATCTCAATTGATAAACATAGACAACTAATAGCCTCTAAGATGGACACAATGACTTAGCTATCTTCATCCGTGCTATGTACAATAATCATATTTATAATGAGACCTTTTCAAAACCATTCGAAGAGGGCGGGCTCCCGATGCACGTTGACCTACCCAGGTTGAGGGAAGGACAAAATGGAGGTGCTTTCTGGAGTCTCTTTACGCCATGTCCCGCGAATGGCACGGACTACTCAGATGAGAACTACGCTCCTAGTTAGTATTTGAGTCTAGCCTCCTAAATTCACCAGCTAATAGTAGTGATTAGGTGTCCAACTGACCCTACAACAAATTGATCTTATGACCCGGCTCCAGAATGCTTACCCGAAAGACTTCTCCGGGATCCCAGTAGATTCCAAGTCTGCGGTAGCAGCCTGGAAGAAAGGCAAATTCATCTCACCCCTAGGGATCGAGGGTCTCCATCAGATTGGCAACTCAGTAGCCAACTTACGGCGCTTCTATGCTTTGGGAGTTCGCTATGCTACGTTGACGCATAACTGCGGAAACATATTTGCCGACGCAGCTCTCTGGGAAAACCCCTTCCGCAAAGCCCCCCCGGTATGGAACGGCGTCTCTCCCAAGGGCAGACAGCTAATCAATGAGATGAACCGCATCGGCATGCTGGTCGATCTATCTCATGTCAGCGCGGACACCATGAGAGACGTCCTAGGCGGCAGCAAAGAATGGGCGGGTAGCAAGGCTCCTGTTATGTTCAGCCACAGCTCTGCCTACACAATCTGCCCGCACCCTCGCAACGTCCCGGATGATGTGCTCCATCTCGTGAAGGAGAAGAATTCGATTGTCATGGGTATATATGCCCCCTTATCAGACTTATAGTTCGACTTCATGCTAATTCTAACAGTAAACTTCTCACCTGATTTCATCAGCTGTATCGACAAGGGCGCCGAGAACGGCGTCCCCGAGTTCTTCCCTGACAACAGCACCCTTTCTCAAGTAGTCAGTCATATCACCTATATTGGCGATCTGATAGGGTACGACCACGTTGGTTTAGGAAGCGACTTTGACGGCATCTCAACGACGCCTGAGGGTTTAGCTGACGTATCCAAATATCCGGACCTCGTGGCAGAATTACTGCGGCGAGGGGTTTCGGATAAAGACGCCAGCAAGGTCGTAGGTGGCAATATACTACGTGTCTGGAGAGATGTTGAGAAAATAGCTGCGAAACTGCAGGCAGCCGGAGAGCCAGTATTGGAAGATGATTTATCGGGCTTGTTCGAGTAAAGGAGTAGTACGACTTGGATATGAAGTTTTGATAGCATATCACTTCTAATTATACTACTTCATTGGCTATCTAGTCTATCATTCATAGTTGATATTTATGAAAAACAATCGGCCTATCTGACAAACAGAGCACAGAAGTTTAAGTCACTATCCGATTTCACCATAACTCCTGTTCAACGGGGCCAAGAAGTTAGAACCCGAAATCGCCTGTTTATGTGCCACCTCTCAAAAAGGAAAATTTTAAGTCCTCTTGGAATGTAATATTTGAATGTTTACATTTAAATATACAAGGGAACGATGCCCCTAGGTTAGGTTTATATACCAGAATAGGTCCTAGCTGAAGACGACTGAAAATGCGTCGCAAACCTCTCATTAACGCCTTTCCCTAACGACTTCAATGGGGGCCAACATCAGCTTATTCCCGCAATGCCATGCGAAATACTGCCCAAGGATAGTATGTCTTCCTATTTTAAATCTTGGAGTACGTGCCTCCTCTCTCGAGGGTATTCAGCTTCTTCGCCGTCTCGATCTGGTTCCTCGTCCGCTGTCCGCGCACCGGCAGACCCATGGCATGTCTCCTTCCCCGAATCGTGCCCATATCTCGCAGCCGCTTGATGTTGTCCTGGACTATCCTCCTGGCCTCGTTTTCTATCGTCATCGTCGATAGCTCGGCTGTTAGGGCTGTGACTGTCTTGGGAGCGACAGTGCCGATCCGGGCCAGAGGGTGGATTGTGTACTTGGCCATGATGCGCGCGCATAGTTGCGGCCCTAGGCCGTAGAAGCTCTCGAGGGCTTTCTGTGCGGTTCCTTGGGTTAGGATTGCGGCTTCTTCTTGTGGAGTGGTGGGTTTGGAGGGAAGCTTACCCTGACGAGTTTCTTCTCGTGGAAGTTCACTCCCATTATGAACACCTAAGTTTTGTTAGTGATTATATTCTATAGTAAGTGAAAAATCGGCTCCGGAGAGCTCACCATCTTGGGCAAAGTCGGCAAGGGCCTCTGTTAAATATGGTCGTGGTATTCCCCTCCAAGTTTGCGACGGACAGGACGAGGCTTCAATATTTCTACCAATTGCGCATAATTGGTTTAGATCGTCGGCACCGGTCGTTAGCTAATCGTGAATTTAAGAAATGTTCCAATGGCGGTACTTCGTACTGAGGCTAAGTTCCTTTGTTAGATAAGCTGATAAGCTGATAGGCTTCTAAACCAGTTAGTGTGGTGGACCCCGCATTCAACCGCCGCTATCTGTCTGGCTGTTAGCCTTTAGGTCACTCCCGTTTAGGTGGTTCAGGGGGTCTAGACGTTGCGACAAGCTCCTGGACTGAAACGTCGCCTTTTAATTGAGCTTCTGTGTCCTTTCCAATCCTTCTTCCTATTTCTCGTCTTTGAAATAGTGCCATTTCCCCTGGCCATTTACCATCATCATACTTCAATTGATTTCTTCCAATCTGCCTGACTGGTCTTGGCAGTCTCTATAACAAACATGTTTAACCTCCGCCGACTTCTCGCCAGCGCCCTGCTGCTGGTGGGTGTAAGTGTCATCTGCTTCTCCCAGACGGCCGCCGCCACCAAGGGACCTAAGATTACCCACAAGGTCTACTTCGATATCACACACGGCGATGAGCCTCTGGGCCGAATTGTCATGGGTCTCTACGGCAAGACCGTCCCTAAGACCACCGAGAATTTCCGAGCTCTTGCTACCGGCGAGAAGGGTTTCGGTTACGAAGGATCTACTTTCCACCGAGTTATCAAGCAGTTCATGATCCAGGGAGGTGACTTCACCAAGGGTGATGGCACTGGTGGCAAGTCGAGTAAGTGCTAATGGTATTGTTCAGTGGGGGAAAGAGAATGTACTAATTGTTCGCCTCTGTAGTCTACGGTGAGAAGTTCCCCGACGAGAACTTCAAGCTAAAGCACTCCAAGGAGGGTCTTCTCTCTATGGCGAACGCTGGCAAGGACACCAATGGATCTCAGTTCTTCATTACCACCGTCATCACCTCGTAAGGCTTCCCAGTTTGACAATAAAGGTGAAGAGAATGTAAGAGCATCGTAATAAGCTAACAGTATATTAGGTGGCTGGATGGCCGACACGTCGTATTCGGTGAAGTGTTGGAGGGCATGGACGTTGTCAAGAAGATTGAGAATGTCAAGACCAAGCCTGGTGATAAGCCAGAAAAGGAAGTCAAGATCGCCAAGAGCGGAGAGCTCGAGGTGCCGCCTGAAGGTATCCACGTTGAGCTATAAACACACAAGTCCCAAACCACCGCATTCGTCCCGCCTGCCTCCGTCGTTTTCATACTGATGCGTTTACCACTCGGTTCCAGGTAATGAAGGAGAATCCGAATGGGCTTCGGGACATTCAACCGAACAGGAGAAACCCGTAGTCGACGAGACTGCTGCTCTCTCTGCTGAATGGTCCGTTCTCCAAAAGGCTCTTCTTTTCGGTGTTATTCTCGCTGCTATCGCTTTTTATATTCGCCTGTCGAAGAAGAGAAGTGACCGGGACGGTATTGCTTACGAGAAGACGATGGCTTAGACTTGTGGCTATTTACTCTAGCAAATGAAATATACATGGTATATCTGATCAAAATGGTGTCCTATTTTATAAAGCGTAGTTGTTGTGCCCGTTATTCTTATTGTCGTCTCCATCACGTGTGACTTGTAAAAAATCGTTAAATTTTATTTGCGCCGGGTCAATTTCTAGACCTTAAGAACTTGAAAAAAAAAAAAAAAAAGAAAAAAATCTTATCAGGTCTCATAACCTCAACTTCTTACGCCGAGATGAAGGTCCTCAGCCTAAATTTCCTGACCTGCGCAGTCAAGGCGTGCAAAAGCTCCTCAAACTCGTATCCCCTTCATCCTAAAGATGCAGAGCTGGTGCATGACGATATCGAGGTGAACGCCCAACTGCTGCTCAACGTACTGCCCCGCATCGATTGGACCGCCTTGTCTACGACAGCTACCGAAGTATGTAATTTTTTTTTCTACTCATTATACATTATACCATTCGTATACAATAATTTAATTAACTATAATGACCACTCCCCAAAAATGAGGGACTATTGAATCCAAAACTAATTTTCTTTCTTTTTAGCTTGGCTTCCCAGCGCTACCGCCTCAGGCTCCGTCGGTAGAAGAGCTGCAAGGCGACGAGCAGAAGATGAAGGACCTGCACAACTTGCTCATGGAGACGCAGATCATGGAGGGCAAGCTGGTGTGCGCCAACTGCGGCCACGAGTACGCCGTCCGCGAGGGCATCGCCAACTTTCTTCTGCCGAGCCACTTGGTTTAAACGTTGTTGGCGTTTGCTACATAGGACGAGGGGAGTTCAAGGCGGAGAAATGCAATGCAATGCAAGTGGGCACTGAACTGTGCTGTGCTACTATTTGGAACCTTAGGTAGCTAAACGACTGCAATCACGAAAGACTTGGGCAGGCGTTCGGGAGTTAAGCTGAGGCGCAAAAACTGCATAACATAAGGCCTATGTGGTTACTACACAGGCACGACGGAGAGAAACTTCAAAAGGGGCGAGGAGAAAGGGGAAAGGAAAAAAAGCCGTAGTCAATTCGATTCTAGTTGCATATACCTAAATCTGCCTACAGTACAGTACAGTCTCCTTTCGATTCGATAAATGATATTGATGTATACCTTGTTTGCTTGGTGAAGTCAGTCTTATTTGACTTATTCCCTAATGCTACCCGTTACCCGGACTCCAATGACCCAATAGTAATTCGTACACACTGCTTAAATTAAATGCAGCCTCGATACATCTACCGACTAGACTGCCTCCCTACGTGTATCTTCTATCTACTGTTTCTTCTGCGCGGCAGGTCCCATATCCTTGTCGAATGCGCCGTACGGGACCTCGAGGCTGGCGACTGCGGCAATACCGCCGTAGAGAATCGATAGGAGGATGACTAAAGCGATGAGAGCCGTGAAGATGCCTGTCTGTTTGTTAGTGTGGGAATGCATCTACAAGGGGTAGCTTAGGACTGACCTGTTGAGAAGTACTGGTATTTCTCGAATAGAGGTAGGCTGTTGGTGTTATTAAGAGCCCTCTGCTGAACAGAGTGCACGTCTCTCTTCAATTCCGCGGGTACGCCATCCTGGAATACAGCCGTGTAGGTCTGGGGGACCTCCTTTCGTGGAGTACCGGCGTAAATGACCGTGTAAGAACCATCCCTATCGAACTGTTCAAGCACCATACCGAGTTCGTCATCTATATCCCATCAGCATTGTATTCTCAGAGAGTCCAGTTACTATATTTACCGTTTTCCTTTAATGTGTGAGCATCGTTGACAGACGGTAAAGGAGCTAATTCGAGTTGGTCGACGAATAATTGCGATCTTCCTTCACAGGACTTCCTAACGAATGCTGCTACATCGTCCGTATTCAATTCCCCAATTACCTCCGGGAGCGAGTAGCGACTCTGGGCCTTGTTATTATAACGGAGGAGATTCGGTACTGCATCCCCGACCAGGTTGGCCCTGTTGAGGTTCGGTTGCGAGACGATGAGGTATCGATCGGTCGGGCAGCTCTTGAGAGCCTTTTGGAGAGTCGCGAAGACTTGGGAATTCGATTGTATTAGCTCCCCGTTGGTTGGCATATCCAGGCTGTTTGGTACACGCGATTAGCTACGTCGTCTATGCGAGGCGAAGGGATGATAGATGTCGTGTAGCGTACCTAGTACTAGAGAACATAACGATAGGGGAGGAGTCTGAGAAAGCATGCGCAGAAGCGCAGCACGCTGCCAGCGCTGCGGCAGATTGAGAAAGACGCATTGTGATGTCGAGCGTCTTGCGAGAATGTTTGATGGTTGAATGGGATGAAGTAAGACGGGGCTTAAAGCTCAGAGGGCTGAAGCGAAGCTCTTTGGAAGTTGACGTTTGACCTGTTTTAGAGACGCGGCATGTTCCGGCTTATGAAATTCCGGGTGCAGGTTACGGCGTCATTTGGGGCTTGTAGGCGTCTGCAAGGTCCCTAAATGCGCTGGAATTTAGCAAGTTGGCTGCTAATATGCAAGGCGGGGCCAATCAGATAGTGCTAGATTAATGAACTGGACGCAACGGTCCAAGTTGCTAAAATTTATTATCACAGCGACTTCAAGCTACAACAACCAACACTTCTACTTTGATATTCCTTAAGTTTCCACCCGGCCTCTGCTCCAATCTAAAATACTAGTCTCCGTTTTCTCCTCTAATTATTAATATACTTTGCCTTTTCTCTCTGCGTTGGAAAAATAAAATGTTTGCGCGCCCACGGCCAAAGAAAGGCTTACTGGTACCGCCACCGAAGAAACGCAAGGCTCAGCATTCGGTCGAGGAGATCAAATTCGATAATGATGCTCGCTCCGATTATCTGACCGGTTTCCACAAGCGAAAACTGCAAAGGATAAAGAATGCGCAGGAACAGGCTGCTCAGAGAGCCAGGCAGGAAAAGATCGAGATTAGAAAGAAGGCATGTGGAGTGTATTTATTATGAGAAAGCAAGAGCTACGAGGTCACTAATACGAGTCGTTCTATAGTTACGGGAAGATCGAAAGAGAGAAGTCGAAGAGCATGTTCAAAATGTCAATGCTATCCTAAAGCAAGCACGAGAGGCAGGTTACGTGGGAGGGGAAGAAGCCTCAGACGACGAAGCAGACAAGGAAGCAGACGAATGGGGAGGATTTCAGGATACACCTGCACTAGAATCCGTCGATCACGAGGAAGAATACATTGACGAAGAGCGGTATACTACGGTCACAATAGAGTCGGTCAGTGTATCTAAGGATGGATTGTCGAGCACTAAACCGGAGGACTCGAGCGAGGATGATCAAGAGACGGCAAAGCAAGACTCGGAACATGCTCCTCCAGGAAGCAAGGAGAAAGCTAGGCCGCCCAAGAAGAAGAAACCGAAGTTCAGATACGAGTCCAAGACGGATAGACAACTGAACCAGAGGAAACAGAAAGCAGCCAAGATCAGAAGGAAACCAAGTGGTTGATTAGCGCATTCCCTATCCGTCTCGCGGGCTATGCTGCAGCAAATACCAACATAAAGCGTCCACCAAATAAACATGCCTTAAACTTGACTTCTCTTCAACTGCCACCGCGACATTTCTGCCCCTTTCAAAATTGTCGGTCAGGTCGGTCGATCAAGCCAGGCCTCCGCCGTATAAGTTGACATAGTGCCAGTGCTGGTAAGAAGAAAGAAACCCTTGGCCTCTAAGGCACAGCCTCGACGTCTCGCGACACCGGTCTCGACGAAAGTAATACCGCCCTAAATGTTGCTGATCTCGGCCTGGAGGTCCTCCAACTCCTTCTGGAGAGCTTGGTACTTCTTGGACATATCCTCGTACTTCGTCTCCCACTGGTCCCGCTCGTTCTCCAACGCCTGTACCTTGCGCTCAAAATGGCCGGCTTTCACGTCAGTCTGGCGAAGCCTGTAGTTTGTGACTGTTAGAACCCTGTAAAATCTATAAGTGTGTTGGGCGCGTTTTGTGACTTACTTCTCATTTGTCTCACGAAGGGTCTTGTCTGCTTCCTCGGCTTCTTCCTCAAGCAGCTGAAGTCTTCGTTGGAGGGTCTCGTTGTGCGTACCATGTTGCAAGCCCTCATCGGCCGTCTTCTTCAAATCCTTGATGGTAGTGTCGAGCTTCTCGTTCTCAGACTCGAGAAGGCCGTTCTTGTGGGAGAGGGAGGTGATCTCTTGCTCTTTGGCGAGGTTTTCCTGCTCGAGAACCTTAACTTTAGCCTGTAGCTCTTCGACTTTGGCAGCAGACTCGTCAGCCTCCAGACGGAGCTGGTTCATTCTCTATAAAAAAGATATATGTTAATATCATCGTAAATCCATGTTTAGATATAAAAATATGCTTCGTAACGCTGCGTTGCTAGACTTTGTAGTTTGGTCTGGAGTGCCACTTTGATATCGCGCTCTGCTTGATGGTGGGGTAAAGGGGGAAATCTGAGAGATAGACCTAACTCACCTCTCTGATGCGGTCCGCCATTTTTGGGATGGTTGCTTAGAAGTAAAGCTAGAGGGAAAAGACAAGAAAGTTTAGGTTTAAACTGGGATGAGCGGTAAAACAGGTTATGTGCTGGATTAGGTAGACAACGAAGGGAGGCTAGAGACTTAAGAGAATAAGGGAAAAGGAGCTCGTTGAATTAATTAATCAACCAGAACTAGATGAATGGATAGTCGTGGAAATTCATATGTAAGGCGAGTGGGTTGGTACTAGATTGCCCCGCCTTCCCTATTGCCCTGGAAAGTGACCGATAGGGGATAGAGGGACCCGTCTCATGATTTGTTTTTGGGCGCACAGTGCCTCTAGCTTTGTCACATGTGGGCCTGTCTCGTAATATTTGGTGAGTAGCGTACGGTATGGATTTCCTAAAGTTCACACTATACAAGGTTGCACGACAACGGAAGGGGCCTATGTAACTAAGTACCGAAACTTAGTTGCTTGGGCAACTGCCATTCCACCCAAATAAAGTTAGAACAACATTCAAACCATTCTCTTAAGAAATGAGGACGAGGCAAACAATGGATCCCATTTCATTAATAAATGTCCACCGCTGAATACTACTCTCCAACTTCACATTACGCTACCAATCATTGCATTTTGTTTGTTGCTAAAGCAGAAGTCTGTGCTGATGGGGAGTCGGCTCTCCTCAACAATACGGATGTAAACATACAGCAATTACGACACCACATCCAGTTTACAGGCAACCGTAGCGTAATTACCACTTATTTTCTCTATCAACCTTGTCCACGATGTTAGCAGCTCGAGATCAAGAGAATTTGGCTTTTAGCCACCAGAACGGTGCTGCTCTGAAGCAGCAGCAGGGCCAAGCGAAGCGCCAACTCCAGCCCAAGACACCCGGTGCAAGATATGCGAACACACCTATCAAAGTCCCTCTAAACGATGAAAATGGTGCAGGTGGTGCCAAGAGCATCCTCGGCGGCAGATCGAGAGGCAATGAGAATACCCTCACAACCAAAGGGGGGAAGAGTGTGAATAAGTCTAATCTTGCCACGCCCTCGGGTATGCGCTCCGCTATTGTTTAACCCTTGAAGTTGTCATGTTTCTTCTCGAGACTAACGCATACGAGTAGGTCCGCGCAGCAGAGCACCTCTGGGTGACAAGACCACGAACGCAAAGGCGAAAGGTTCGCAAGCAATTACTGTTAAGAGCGCCGTTCGCGAACTAGACAAGTCCCAGGGCAAGGCGCCGGGAACTACTCGACCCAAGCAGAAGCAGCCGCAGGCCGAATTACAGAAGTTGGTAGTTCACGCCGAAGGGGCGGATGTGCTAAGTGAAGAGGAGATTGAATATTGTCCTCCTAAACCGAAGGACCTCCCTTACGAGTCTGACGTGTTTCCTGATGGCGCCCTCAAATTTGACGCCTTAAAGCCAGAGAACTTATTCAAAGGCTATTATGACCACTATTTTAACCCCGTCGATGAGAATGGCGTCTCGTTGGCTGACAGAGAGTTGGAAGAAAGAAATCGAAAGGCTATGGAGGAATGCGACAGGCGCATCCAAGAAGATATCGACAGCATTGAGTGGGGTATCCAAGAAGAACCGGAGACTACTAAGAAGGCAGCCATCGTTCCAACTCGAGCACCTCTCGGGGTTAAGAGAACGGCGATGAACAGGGTGCCATCTACTTTTCAGGCAAGGAAGGCTGCCAAAGCTCTATCGATGGATGATACGACTAAGTCGCTACAGCGAAAGCTAGCAAAACCCGTGGAAGTCAGTAGAATCCCGGCTAAGAAGACCACATCCCTTCCAATACCTAGCTTCAGGCGACAACCCAAGACTCAGCCCCAGGCACTCACTAGAAAAACATCAACAGAGATGGAGGCAAATTCGCGAACTACAATTGGCTATAACAAGGGCCGATCTACTGCTTCAATACTTGCTCAGGGGACCACAAAGCCCGAGAGACCTGCATCCAAGACTGGATTTACCCGTTCTAACACGACGTTGTCAACTGAGTCTGACCGAACAATTACTCCTGCTCGATACGCTCACACACAAGCTGTAGTCGCGGCCGAAGATCAGGAGTGGAAGGAGAGGGTTCCATTCCTCTCTATCTTCAACCCCGAGGAGGATGACGATGACGATGACTGCGATCTCCTTGCGGGAAGTACGCTTAAAGGTCCATGTGTGGATGAGGATGAAGATTTCGAGTTCAAACTTGCCGATTAGAGGATTCCCATGGTTCACATTGTTGTAAGAGGAGTCGGTGGTTGATTTTATGATTTTATGAGATGGAGTTGGCGTCTGCTCGCGTGCGCATTAGACTTTACTACATGCAGAAAAAAAAACAGCCTCTAACAGTATTAGGGCTCTTCTTGTATTGATAGTTCATTAAGGCGGTTGGTTATAGTGTTTTTACCTATACCATGTAATGAGGTCCCTTCAAACGCCGGTCTTAAGTCAAGTTGCGTTCAGTAGGCTAGGTTGGCTAGCCTTAATGAATATACCTATGTTCCAAGTTGGCCCCGCAGGCACTCAATCTACATACTCTTTAGTTAAATTGTGCTGGTAACCACTTTTATATGAAAGGATCACACAAACTTCTAAGATCAGATCAGAAATCATGTGTTTCTATTATTTAAGGCTTTCGATGCTTCCATTTAGAAGCCTGACAAGTGGCTGAGCCACACGTCAGTTATAGTCATCTACAAATAGCAATTGCTTTGACCGTGTGTCTGGTTGACGTGGTGGCTTTGGTGACTGCTAGAAGTTAAGAATTAGGTACAACCATGCTTAGGTATTAACATGTGTCCCAATGAGTAATTTTGGATTAGACAACTCTTCGTTTTTCTTTTTATATATACCAATATGTACAGAAGGCCGGTGTACCTCGTAATTATAAGTCTCAGTTGAATTAGGCTACAATTTTTTATTCAGCAGTCCTCGGTTGAACCCTTGCAGCCCCTGAAGGCAGAGATGCATATTGAATAGTAGATATAGTCAAAGCACTTTGAGTACCTTGAGGCGGGTGCCTGACTAGGTAAAAAGGAGTTGCATCAGGTTCTGGATCTGACGGACAAAGCCGATTCTATTCGTTCTCGATGATTGTTAACAATACATCTAGGCAGAAGACAGCGAATAATAAATAGTGGTGACGTTGTAATGCATAAGGGGGAAAATCCGACTGCCAATACAGACTTATGCACGTACCTAATGTAGCCTAGCAACGCCACATGTAGGTACAAGTGCGGCTAGGAGACATAGACCTGAGGACAAAAACAGAACAGAAATGTGGCACGGGTGTGGCTTCCGTCCCCCGGACTTGGCCCCATCCCTGAAATCAGAATCTGGCTTTGCCCATCAACCGCCAATTCAACTTTTCGGCATCAGCCTCTTCATTCTCCATCTGCCACCCGCCCTTTTTCAACTAAGGCCCAGTCTCGACGTCGCCGGTGCAAATTTCATACGCACACCTTCTACAACTATTCGCGACCGTACTGGGCTAGTTTTTTTTAGTCATATACCCTTCTTTATTTGCCTTCCACGTCGTCAATACTAGATACTTGTCTTTTGACGAGTCCACACGTCAGATCTCCGATCCTGTCGCGTGGACGCAAGAGTTTCGCGTATCCTTCTACCACCTCCACCCCCGACTTCAATACATCAATCACGCACCTTCCTTTCGCGTCATAAATGAATGGTGTTTTCTACCATTGCCGGTTCGAGATATGATGGTCGGTGGATAGTCGAAGCCGCCAACTTCGACCCTCCGAATCATGGCTCCTAGTGCTGGTTATAAGGAGTTTTTTCCTAACGCTCCTCGCGCTGCCAGAGACAAGGCTAATGAACGGGAACGCGAGAAGTCCTCGAGGACATCAGAAGCTATCGAGCATGATTCCAAAACGGCAACACCTGCTCACCGCGATGGCGCCAAGTACGATTCATCGTTGTCTGATGCCGCACATCCCCCGACAGATGATACCGAATCTTTGCAAGGGGATATCCTCAATGGTGTTGGTTCCGCAAGCTCCCACGCGAGTACCGCATCCTCTGTCTTTACCACCTTTAATTCCTCCGCTGCATTAAATGCTTCTTCACGCGCATCCAACAGCAACCTCACTCCTCTTACTATATCGGGCTCGCCCACAAACCCCCCACATATACAAGCCGCGAAGCAGCGCACCTCCGCCATTCACAATACCACTGCTAGCAGATCTGATAGTACGAATCCTATAATGGCCACGGTGTCGTCGTCTAGTCTTCCCAGCGCCGTCAAGCGCCTCCCGGCTCGAGACCCTAACCTTACTATAAAAGGAACCAAGTGCATACACGATCCTTCAACCGACAAGAGCTTGTCTTCGAGCGATAGGAAAACATTGAAACCCAAATACAAGAATATCGGCTTGGTACGTATAATATATTATATGGATAGAGGGGGAGCGTCATCTGCTTTGCGTGAGAACTTTGGCTAATACACTGAATAGGAAGATGACGCTCCCCCTCTAGACCCTCGCTTATCCAAGGGTAGCTGGCTTGACTACATCAATGTCGACTTCCACCTACCTAAGGCTAGGCTACGTCAAACCCCATATAATCTCAAGCCGTACCCGTACGATGCTGCCACCTCCATTGGCCCTGGGCCGCCAACCCAGATTGTCGTCAGCGGATTTAACCCCCTGATCACCTTCTCTAAGGTCGTGACTATTTTCGCCTCGTTTGGCGATATCGCTGAGAGCAGCAATAAGATGCATCCTCACACAGGTAGTTATCTGGGCTTTGCAACCTTTCGATACCGAGACTCGAAGCAACCAAGACGGCCGCCCGTTTTGGCCATCGATGCCGCAAGAAGAGCAGCCAGAACTATGAACGGCAAGAAGATTGAGGCGAACCATATAAAGGTAGAATTTGATCGGGATGGCAAGAAAAGTAGACTCATGCTCGAGACTATCCTTAAGAAGGATCAAGTCGAAGCGAAGCGTGCGGCTGCTACGCCACCTGTACCTACGGGTCCAAGAATAATGCCTCCTGAGCTGCTCAGCCGAGCGCCTCCTGCCGCCCCGAGGGGTCCTGCTGCCGATCGACAACGACCTTCGCTAGGAGGAGTAGAACCCGCCTGGGCACCCCCGACGAAGCCTAAGGCTTATTCCACGTTGGTCGATATGCAACCTGTTCCGGCTACCCTCAAAGGCGAACCATACGTATTCGTACCCGACTCTAGCGTTCCAGTGATGGTTACAACGATACCTCATATGAAAAAACGCCTGAAGGCGTTCCAATTTGAGGATATACGAGCCGATCGCGCTGGCTACTATATAATCTTCCCCAATACTACGTTCGGTCGCGATGAGGCCTACCGGTGCTTCAGGTCGGCAGATGGTAGTGCCTTCTTCACCTATACTATGGCAATGAAGCTTCATGGGGTTACCCCATCGGGATCTTCCAGCTCTACTGGTCAACTACGAAGAAGCGAGCCAGAAAGGAGACCATTAGTAGATACCCGCTATAGAGACGAACACCAGTACAGACCCCGTGACGAGCGACGTCGCGACGAAGAAGCAGTTTTGGAGGAAGAGAAAAAGCAGAGGGCTAAGAACTTCGATCCCGTACTTGAGGCTGTTGAAGTTGTCCGTCGTGAGATGAAGGAGCATTTAATTAGACATATTAGGACTAAAGTCGCTATACCTGCCCTATTTACATTTCTAGACCCGAACAATCATGTCGCTAAAAGGCGAAGATTGAACCTCGAGGATCCGGCTGGCCCATCACGACCTGCGCTCAGCGTCGAAGAGCGCGACGAAACTCCGATCAGTACTCCCAATTCGCGAGCCGACCCGATCGAACGCCGTACTGCTCGTGTCGATGTTGCTGCCCTACCCCGTATCAGGAAAGCCAAAGGTGGTCAAGGAGCTGCGCAGCGGAACTATGGGTTTACGGACCCGTTTGCGCGCAAGAGATCTTCTGTAGTACACAATGCCTTCCGTTCTCTTCATCATCGGCTACAGCCTCCGGATAGTGATGACGAGGCATCCGAAGATGAAACAACGGAGAATCGCGACTCTGTTGCGCGTGATGTCGAAGAGCCAGATTCGCGCCCTCGCAGCCGATTGAGTACGGAGGACGATGTCTTCGAAGACGGCTTCGGTGATGAAGACTCCATGACAGATGCTAGTTTCCCTGTCAACGATGGGCTTATTAGAACAAAGAAGCGGAAACTCGACTTACATATCGAAGCTGCTATCAAGCGACAGAAGAAGTCTGACGAAGAGCTTTTTGGTGTTACTATTGATACGCTTGAGAGCGAATTCCCGAGTCCAACCGATGACGTGCCTATGCCCGACGCTGGACATAACAATACTAAGAGTCTTGACGCTACCGAGCTGCCCACACCGACCGAGAAGCCGGTTAAAGGAAGGAAGAAGGCGACCATAGCGAAGCCTAAGAAGAAGACTAAGAAGCAGCTTTTCGAAGAGCGTGAGGCAATGAAGAAGCAACAACAGGAAGCATACGTCGAGGAAGCATTAGGGCAAACGAACAAGGAAGAGATTCAAGAGCCCGAAGAGCCATCAGAAAAGCCAGCCGTAGAAGAAACAATAGGCAAACCAATCCTGAAGGATGAGCGCTTTTCTGACGCGGTACTTCCAGCAATGGCCCTTCCGGAACCATTTACCTTGTCGGTCAAATCCATGTCAAAGATTGAGCTCTTGTCGAAAGACTACCCCGATGTTAGCAAGCTAAAGAAGAAGTTTAAACCTGTTGATGTCGGCGATCCTAGGCTCTGGGTATGGAGGCACAATCGCGTGCGAGAGCTTAACGCCGACGAGTCATCACCTGATGAACCTATTACCATTGAGGGTTATTACGTACCAAACCCTACTGGGTGTGCTCGTACGGAAGGCGTGAAGAAGATTCTCAACTCGGAGAAGTCTAAGTATCTTCCTCATCATCTCAAGGTCCAAAAGGCGAGGGAAGAGCGACAGCTCCGCGCAGCCAAGAAAGACGGCAAGGACACCGCCGCTGCTGCTGCGGAAGCGGCAAAGCTTGCAGCAGAGAAGCTGCTGGCAAAGGGTAACTCGAGAGCAAATCGTGTCAACAACCGCCGCTTTGTCGCCGACCTGAACGATCAGAAGAGAACTCTAGGTCAGGACTCGGACGTCCTTAGGTTCAACCAGCTTAAGAAGCGGAAGAAGCCAGTCAAATTTGCTCGTTCTGCCATTCATAACTGGGGTCTCTATGCTATGGAGAACATTAACAAGGATGACATGATCATCGAGTATGTTGGCGAAGAGGTTCGACAGTCTATCTCCGAGATTCGGGAGAATCGTTACCTTAAGAGTGGCATTGGTAGCAGTTACCTCTTCCGTATAGACGATAGTACGGTCATCGACGCAACAAAGAAGGGCGGCATTGCGCGTTTCATCAATCATAGCTGCATGCCAAATTGCACAGCCAAGATTATCAAGGTGGAAGGTAGTAAGAGGATTGTCATCTATGCCTTGCGGGATATTGCTCAGAGTAAGTTTACAGATAACCCACCTAACAGTTCCATATAGTACTAACGAGGATTTTTTCTAGATGAGGAATTAACATACGACTATAAGTTTGAGCGAGAAATAGGGAGTTTGGATCGTATACCCTGCCTCTGCGGAACCGCGGCTTGTAAAGGCTTCCTCAATTAGTCCTCCTCCCGTCCGATGTTGGAGGGGCGTATTTGTTATACATTTGTCTGGTGCGGGACGGTTTTCTCTGCATTTTGGCCCTCTTCATCTCAAAGCGGCGCGCCTCTAGATGTCCGCCTTGATATATATGCATCTAAGGAGTAAGCTCTCGCCGAAGAGCGGAACAAAAAAGGGGTGTAAAGTACAATAGTCGGTTGTTTTTTTTCTCCAAGGGAGACGGGGGGGCAATGGCGTTCATGCGCGACTTTTTTCTTCTTTTCTTTTCTCTCGTGCCCTTTTCAGGAAGTGGAACGGCACGGTATGAACTGCATTTCATGTGTGTGTGTGTGTGTGCGTGTGGCAGTGATGTGGACTATAGAATCAAAAAGGTAACTAACCGCCCATTTATACCCGGTGGTAGTGGTATTCATTTACGACGAGAGCTGTTGGGTATAGGAGACCCTTCAACGGAACGAGGTTATCAGTGTACATAGAAACCCATCCCAGGTGGCCTCGACCCCCCGAAATGAAATGGGGATAATAATTGCATTGCCGTTATTCAACATGATTTTCATTGAGCACAAACGTTTGATTAGCAACGTTGAATTTGTATTGTAGCTTTGAATTGAATCGACTGCTTTTCTTTTTATCTGCCTATAACGCCGTCTGGTATGCCTTAAGCCAATTGAACTTGACTACCTAAAACAATGTCTGCCCTAACGCCGGATGCCTCTAAATGGCTACCTCCTAATGCATGCGTATTATATTCCCTAATATAAATCCTGACTATTGAGGAGCGCCGGGTAATCTCTCGATCACGTATTTTCCCCGAGCTACGTTCATAATAGGAACACCAGGGATCTTGCGTATCCGACGGCAGAGATCCTTATCGTTGGTCGCGACGATGTATATGCGGTGTTTCCTATTCGGTTGTGGTTAGCTATGCGCTGCTAACTTATACGTCACTTATCTCGACGACACCACCACCACACGACGCGATATCTCCAGACTTCGAAATTAATTCATTGACTTACATGACACGATCGACAATGCAATCGTCGGCATAAACGCCCTTATGATCGCACTGCAAGCGCTCCCACCTCTCGTCGCGCGCGATCCTCAACGCGATCCGGTACTTGGGGCCGAGCTTCTCCAGCTCGGCCATGACGCAGCTGGTTATGATGGGGGTGCACTTGGCGTACAGGCAGTCCATCATGGACTCGAGGAGGGGCAGCTTGCGCTGGACGGTGTGGCTGAGGAAGTTGGTGTCGACGAGGACGCTGTAGGGCGGGACGAGGGCCTCGTTGTGCTGGAAGAAGAGCGAGGAGGGCAGCTGGGGCACTTCCCGGCGGACGATGTCGCCGGAGGCGGAGGGCTTGGATGATGAGGCTGCGGCGGATGCGGCGGCGGCTTTGGTCTGGTTCTCTTTGAGGCGCGCGTCGCGGCGAGAGATTATGCGCTTGACCTATGGGCGGGTTAGTATACTGGTGATGATGCTGCTGGGTGCTTATCGATAAGAGGGGGGTGTTCTAGAGTGGGAGGTGGAAGGGATGGAGACGGACCTGGGCGAACTTGCGCGTCTTCTTTGCGACACCCATAATTGATTCCTAATTATTTCGGATCAGTAATACTTTGGTATTTTCGATTGCGGGCGCAAGGGATCCAAATTTGCAGCACTTGTACGTCCGAACAATGTTAAAGTTGGTAGTGTCTGAGTATCAAGATAAATCAATCTGCCGCCCGTGGAAAATCTTGACCGCCCTGGGGAAGTGGAATATCAGATTAGCCGCTCGCAGGGTTTTGCCGGACTTCTTGGCGTCTAATTGGAAATTGGTCGGTGCGCAGGGTCCCACGCGTTGGTGTATGTACTTAGGTACCTAGGTATGTATGTTCATTGCGTCCACTGTACCAATACTTTTGTCTAGGTATTGTACCAGCCCACTTCATGATTGCGTCTTAATCGGCTTCCATTTTTGTCCTCACTTAAAGATGGGTAGGCTGGGGATGTCTCACAATTACTATATACATAGGTCTAGAACGGAGAGCCACCACGTGGAATTTGAAGAATTCTAGAAACGCCACTATTATGTAACGATCGGAAATATCAGGTCAGGTTCATACCCAAAGTGAGGAATTGCAAGTGAACACCTGGGGCAATTGCGTACATGTACTCCGATATGATGTAGGTAGATTCGTTCGGGGGGCAGGGTGCCCGTGGGCTATCTGCTGTGCGCCGTGCTACCGAGTCGCACAACGTATGTACACTAGCTGTGGGCTTCCATATTCGCCGATGCCGTGCTTCGCGCATGTATGTATGTAAATCTGTAACAGGTAAGAGATATGTACCGTTACATACTTTGGACATCGATCAAGACCCCTATGTACGATACACTATATGTAGTAGTCAACCAGCCGTCCGGTATCCTATCTAGGTAGGTACTACGTAGTAAGATGTGCTAGTAATGTGTGCTAATAAGGTACTAGTACGCTTAGGTCATTAACGCGATCCTTTTCTCGTCTCGTCTTCACTCAATTTGGATTTTAAACTACCTAGGTTAGGTTCGTATGTACATATACATATGTAGTGTATGGGGCATGGAACGTGCCTGCCTTTTTGCTTTATCCTCTTTAGTAACCTCTCCTCCTTTTCTCTCGTTGGTCCCTCGTCTCGTCCCCATTATCCATTATCCATCGCCCATTCGCCCATCCGCCCATCGTCCATCTTACCAAACATCAGCGAAACGAAAGTGGTGGGAGGCTTACAAGGAAATCGGCAATAAACAACAACAACAATGCAAAACTCATAAACTTTTTTAATCAACATTATTTCTCAGTCCGTCGTTTCGTTAAACCCACATTCTTTTTTTATTAATTATAAGCTTACAATCGCAACTTGACCTTGACCTCTTTTGAACCCTCGTTCGTGTCTAAGTTGGGGGGCGCCCTTTTTTTTCCCTTTGCGTAATTGAGTTGGGACCAAATACGAGAGACACCAGATCATCGTGCCTTCGCTCAGCCACAATTACAACAGACTAAACAGACTAAACTTTGTATCCGACAGCATTCAAATAGTATCCAACCACCTATAGCTCCCCGTGCGCTCGCGATTGCGCGTAATAAACGACCCCGAGACCATCCCTCGCTTAGTTACTTATCTCGTCGTTTTGTTTCGCCAACTCGCCCATCATGCGCACGCAACCCTTTTTCTTCGTTCTAGTCGCCCTTCTCGCCTCTAATGTTATCGCCCAAGGGAATAACGACGACGACGACGATCAGACGAGCGACGTGACGCAAACACCAACTCCTACTGCTACGGCAACACCAACGCCGACGGAGACGGAGACGGATGCCGAAGACTCTTCCACATCTGAGGAACCATCCGAGACCCCAACGGTAACGTCAACCGGGGCCAGCATTACGACGGAGCCTTCCTCCACTGATACGCCTCCACCTATTACCACTTCAACTTCATCCGATGATGATGGACCGCTTCCTACTATCCCCGGCTCATATAGTTATCCCGCTCCTTCCGTTCCTCCTACGAATAATGCCCCGTTTATGCAGCCATCGAGCGTGCCGGAAGGCACCGTGTTCATCGCCGTCGGAGCTATCCTAGGTGCTTTCGGGGTTGCCGTCTTGATATGGCGCGCGGTCGTCGCCTGTCTTCTGCACCGCTCGGTCAAGAAGGCGGCATTGGCTCAGCAACTTGCTAATGACAAGGCTACCTTTCCGTCGCAACCGCCTCCGTTCTATAAATATACCGACCAGGAGGCATCTTCGGCTTCTCTTGGTAACGGCGGATCAGGTCGTGGTGTACGAAGAACAACACGGGGACCCATCCCTTCGCAAACCCCGAGCCAGTCCAATCTTTTCTTTTCGCCCACTGCTCCTACTACGGCCGGCGGCGGTAATCGTGAATCTCGCTTCTTGCCCTCGGGTTTTTATGCCGCTGGGGCGGGTTCTCCGCAAGGCCACAGTCATAATATCAGTCTAACGAACTTACGGCCCGACTCTCACGGTCACCCACGACCTCTTGGGCACACTCCACCCGAGTCACCCAGTCTAGCACCCCGTGGAGCTTTAGCACCACGAAATGTGAGCGCGAGCTCGCTGAATTTAAACCGACCTCCCAGCGGACGGGCACCTAGTGCTTTCTTGGAAGATTTGTTAGACGACCCGAAAAACCAGTACCCACCACCTAGCCACCACCACACCTGGAGTTCATCACAACCCCGGCATTAGATATCTGGTAGGGGGTCTGCTTCAGCGGAGTCTGGAAAGGGAAGGCTAAGGTGTTTGGGCATTTACAAATTCTACCACGCAGAATATCGCTGAGGGAAAAGCTTTTTATTATTCCAAGCAATGATCCGGGACGGGGCCAGACGAACCAATCCTTGTAAAGCAGTGGAGCAAGGGGATTGGGTATCCGGCGGTGAGGACAATCGATCGATCGAACAGACAGATATGTTGGTTCGGTCTTGGTCCCCGACTTGTTATGTATCGTTGCTTGCTGTAAAATAAACAAACGCGTACGCGTGTATGTTGTGTGTAATGGGCATTAGAGCTGGAGTTTAGGCAAAGACAACATTGGGTTGACCTTGGTGCTACTATATCTATTACTACGGTATAGCATAGCATAGCATAGTTTAGTATTGCTTACAAGTTACATACTTTTTCAAAGGAGACAGGAAAGGGATCAGAGATTCACATACTAACTACCTACGTCACTGATCTGCTACTACAACTGGAGATACACTACATAGTTAGGCGTAGGACGGGACTTGGCGTGGTGTAGTCTCCCCTTTTAAGGGCTGTTACCCAATATAATACATCCTTTTATCGGGTTTGATGTGTGCAGTGATGCTAGATGTGGAGTTTTTGCGGACTGGAGGGATGTGGTGTTTGGTACATAAAGTACTACCTAACCTGAGGCAGGCATATCTGTATGTTCATATGCTGTGGAGAGAAGGGTAGATAGATTTACAGATACACAAGTAGAGGGTACACAGGTGCTACATACATGCGTGTTAGCTAAATCTACCTATTAATGTAGCGAAGTATGTTAGTAAAGACCCGCGAGACAGGTTACCGGTGTAGATTGGGTACGGTACCTAGGTTATGTAAATAGGTTAGGTAGGCAAGTATCTATTTGCGGACGGGTAGCTGCAGGAATGGCGCATGCGCTTGTGTGCAGATGGGATGCGGGATCCCCATGTAAGGGCTATCGGATCTGAGGTAGCCATGTATGTATGTACCCGGGTTAGGTAGGTAGGTAGGTGGGTGTGGAAAAGCAAGTGTTATATGCGGGATGGCTTGGGCTATGTAAGGTCTAGTGGGTAGGTATATTTTGATACAGTCGGTGTAGTTGCTACTTGAAATAGTTGTTGTGTAAGTCGTGGTGTTGGAAGTGGGTGTGTAGATGTATAAGTGCAGGTAAGAATAGGTAGGTAGCTTTAACTTGATAACTCTAGGTTATACATTTACGTAGGTATGTTTTAATATTGATTTTGCATTTAACTCCTTGCTTAGGTAACTAACTAACAACCTCTTAGATATAAACATAGCTTGAGAATTCAAGCATCAAAATAACTAACCTTGGCTTTAATAATAGTTAGTAGTTGGGTGGTTTTTAGAAGTTCATTACTTGGCTTCGTATAACAGCTAACTAATACATCTTAATACTTCCAGGTTACACGTAAATAACCTACATAGTTACTTGACTTATATCTTCCGTACAGTTCAACTACCTAAAACCACCCAGTCTAATAATATGCAAACTGAAGTCTTCAGTAACAATAAAACAATATATACATTAAGTTAAGTAGTTAAAATAACCTGTTAAACGCAATACTAGGAAATTCCCTGCGTTGCGAACGGGTCGAGGCGAGAACGCTTGGAGCAAATATAAACAAGCAAGCAAGCCGAGCACTATTATCCCTTACGTCTTAAGGCTCTTGCACGTGGTGGTTATAAATGGTACCTAAGTTTATAGCCTATCTAGCCCTTTTGTTTGTTTCTTTCGTGCGTATTTATTTATTTATCTATAATTCTGTGCGTACGAATATATTCCACCATAGCCTTTTTTTTTCTTCACTCATCTAGCTCTTCCATCTGTACTAAAAGAAGAAGAACAACAATGAATTGGGAACGTCTATGTATCTACCTACCTATCTACACGTTGCCTTTATATAAAAAAATAAATCGTTTCTTCACCTATTTGCCTCTAGGCACTTAGTGATATAGGTACTTATCTATCACTCCAACTGTTCCCATCATCAGACTTATACTTATATAAGACATAGGCATCACTTCAACGACAACAACAAGAACATCAACCTCGCCCATTTCAAACATCCAATACCGCAAAACTAGGCATGATATTAACATGCCATTAACATCCAAGCCTCATATATATCCGCGTATCGCTACCTAGGTATATACCACCTCTACCCAATATTAATTTTATCCAAGCCCCGTCCTATCATATCCAGCCTGTATCATATCATATCACCACACATCATCTTCATCTTTCCCTTCGTCCAGCCTTCTATATCCATCTAAACCTCATCATCCTTCTCGCTCTTCCCTCCCGAACCCTCCCCCTTTTCTCCATCTTCTATATAACCCTCCCCCTCGCCGCTAAGCCCCCTCGTAGCAACCAAAATATCTTCCTCCCGAATACCACTTCTATCACACATACTTCTAAATATACCCCCGCGTCTCCAGAGCTCGATCGGCGAATCCAGCTCCGCGATCCGTCCCGCGTCCATAACACATATCCTATCGTATCCAACAATAGTGCGCAGCCGGTGCGCAATGCACAATAGCGTCTTGCCGCGGAACCCGACCGCCATCGTCTTCTGGATCTTGTCGTCCGTCTCCATGTCCACCGACGACGTCGCCTCGTCGCACACGATGATCTGGGACCCGCGGACTAGGGCACGTGCTAGCGCCATTAGTTGTCGTTGCCCTAGCGAGAAGTTCAGGCCGTCTTCTTCGACTATGCTGTCTAGGTGGATGCGTGAAGGGTCCTTGTCGTCGATGTTTGCGTCGGCGGGGACTAAATCAGCTTTGCGGAGCGCGGACCAGAGGTCTAGGTCCGTGTGCTCGTTAAAGGGGTCTAGGTTACTGCGTACTGTCCCGCGGAAGAGCGTTGGGTCTTGCGGGATGATGGCTAAGCGGGAGCGCAGGTCATGCAGGCCGACTGTGGAGATGTCTAGACCGTCGATATAGATGTGGCCCCCCGAAATTTCGACTAGGCGGAATAGAGTCGACATGATAGAACTCTTACCGGCTCCGGTACGTCCCACGATACCTATACGCTCGCCACCGCGAACGTGCATACTTAGACCCTTAAGAACTAAGGGCAGATTGGCACGATACCGCATCTCGACATCATCGAAGATAATCTCGCCTTTTTCAGGCCACGTGGGACGGACGTCGATCGTGTGCTCCGGTGCCTCCTCCTCGAGTTGTGTGGCGTAGTACTGGAGGCGTTCCACGGCATTCATGCCGTTTTCCACCTCGGCTAGCTGCCTAACCGTGAACTGCAGCATCTGCACGATCGATAGGATATACGAGAGCACGAGTCCGCCGATCGATGGTGAAACGTCGAATCGGGACGTGACCACGAGGATACCCGTGGTAAACACGAGCGCGTTCCCGATGGCGTCCAGGCGCACGGATAACCACCGCTGGTTTGAGAATGTTAGGTAATATGCCGAATTCATCTCGTCGATGGCGTTACGAAGGTCGCTGATAAAACGATCCTTTAATCCGTATGCGCGGATAGATGCCACACCGCTAAGACCCTCGCCGAATTTAGCAAACACGATAGATCGAAGCACTGATTCGAAGCGCTTTACTTCTCTCGCCGAGGCTCGGTAGTACGATGCCGCAAGCACGAAGAGAATAGCGAGCGGGACTAATGCGATAGCAAAGTAGTGGAAAAAAGCAATGATCAGCGCGAACACAGTTATTATCATGGCCAATGTGAGGAAATACATCCTCATCGCATCAGCCAAGTTATTATCCATAACATCGACATCCCTGGAGAACCGATTCGTTATACGACCCAGCGGCGTCGTGTCGAAGAACGACATTGGCGCTCTGAGAGTTCTCGACACGGCCTGTCTGAGAAGAGTTTTGCTAGCTCTCGTACCGTATATGGTCAGTAGAATGGAAAAGAGGAACATCAGCATAGCTTGTAGCGTGCCTAAGCCGGCGTAAACACCGATATATACCCCCGTCGTCAGGCCGAAGTGGTCTGATGTCCAGTAGGAAAGCCATAAACTTGTCATGATATTGGCGCCCTGGGAGAGTAGGAGTACGGACAAGGTGAGCGGAGCATTGAGAATACTTCCCGAAGCTCGAATATAGCTAGTATAAACAGACCATGGGACGCTTGCCACTGCTCGCTCCTCCGCTTGCATCAAGCCCTGACCACGCTTCTTTTTCTTCTTGTCCTTTTCGTCACCCGTCTTCTCTTCGACGGTAGCCGGCGTTTCCTCATTCGTTTGTTCCAAAGCCGTTGTCTCCATTAGCTGCCTGAAACCCGAGTGGTTCGCCATTAGGTTGTCAAACGTGTCGATCGCTTGCATCTTGCCGCCATCCATCCAGATGATTCTATCGCAGCGGTTAAGAACCCATAGTTGATGCGTGGCAAGGATACGGCATTTGTCTTTGAGGAGACCTAGGATAGCGTTGTCCATAATATGTCGACCAACGTGGGCATCGACGGCACTGAGGGGATCGTCCATAAGTACAATATCAGCGTCGAAGTAGATGGCCCGAGCAATGTTGAGTCGCTGCTTTTGTCCACCTGAGATAGTGATTCCCCTTTCACCGATTTCGGTAGCATCTCCGTTGGGAAGCATGTCTAAATCTTGTTGTAGAGCACAGCTAATGACAAATTAGTATCTCCCTTCCCTCAACATTGTTCAATATAATATGACTTACGCTCTAATGACCTCTTTGTACCAATCACGATCCATCTCTTTCCCGAAGAGAATGTTATTCCGGACACTCGTGTTCTGAATCCAGGCATACTGCGGACAGAAAGCTCGAGACGCTCCCAGCACCACCTCGCCTGACGTCTTCCGCATATCACCAGCAAGCGCAGCAAGCAAGGAACTCTTCCCGCTTCCGACAGTACCGATAACAGCAATCAACTCGTTTCGGCCGATCTCAACATTCAACTCCTGAAGCTTGAACGGCTCACGTTCCTCCACAAGCGTGCTTGCTGTATCCTCGCTCTCTTCCGATGTCCCATTACTGTTGCCTGGCTTCTGGTTTTG